TAGCTTGAATAATATTTTTTTTTAAAGCGTCTAACTTCCAAATCTTTTTTTTTTCTCATATCATTCTTTTGCAACAGAGCTTTCTTTGTTTTTTCTTTTGGCCAGAACATGTCGTCCATCCATGATTTTGTTTAATGGGCAGGGGGGGGGGGGGGCGCATGACACCGAGCGCGTACATAATTTTAGGCCTACACGTGTGGTGGGTTTTTTAATTCAGGGAGACCTGAAAGACAGTGCGGGTAGGTAGGTTAATCAGACTGCGCTCCCTCATACAAGACAGAAACCCAGTAGAAATAACCCGGACGTGTAGGCTAGCGGTAACTAGACAGCAAACATCTTGATGTTGACTTCGCGAAAAGATGAGAGACTGGGGGCCACTGGGGGTCACTCACTGCCTGAGGAGAGAACTATGTCACGTCTCGTTCCCGAGTTATGGGACTTTTCCTTTGATGCCCTTCATGAAGCCAGCCTTCCTAAAACTAAAACGTTTTACCATTCCAACCCATCTATTTTATCCAAAAAAAAGAAGAGTAGGTTCCCTTAGAAATATGGCAGCGCCCATGAGCTGCACTGACTGGCACTCTCAATTTAGTAGTTAGTTGTACTTCGGACACTTCGATAAAAGTCAGTTTTTTCTCAACACAATGGATAATTGATCATGAATTACCTTTTTTTCATTGGGTCGTCAGCAATGGCTTCGTCAGTCTTTACCTGATGCATAGAAGTCTACACAATTCCAACTGTCAACTGTTTTGGTTGGCTTGTCACTTTTGACGAGTTTTTGAAGTTTTTCATTGTTTATTTTGACTTTGATTTGACATTTTGACATTCTTTATTAGCTCTGTCTAGAAATCTAGATCTAGATTAGATCTAGATTTTAGATCTAGATCTAGATATCTAGATCTAGATATCTAGATCTAGATTAGAATCTACTTTAATTTGGATCAAGGTAAATTTTTACTTTCACTCCCGCACACAAATTTCTCTGCTTCAGGGGTCAAACTACATTGTAAGTAGATTGGTGTTTTTTCGGTAGTTCCCACCCCCCCTTATTTGAGCCTGACCTACATCTAGATCTATACGTTTGATTTGGACGAGCTAAGATAATAAACCTAACAACTGCAAAACATTAAATTGTGGTAAAAGTCAGGGGGGAATGCCCCCCTGAAACCCCCCCATCTTATTTAGGACAGGGCTACTCTTGAGGCCAAAACCCGTGAATAACAATTGCAGGGTGGGAACTACCGAAAAGCGCCAGTAGATCTAGATCTAGATCTAGTCTAGACAAAAATTATATTTGATTTAACGCATGACGTCCGTTCTGACTTCCGACCCTTGTTCCGAAATATTTCCAGCATTTACGAACGTTTTTCGATTATAATAACAGTCGAAATGTGAGCTTTAACTTTAGGCCTTAGGCACTATTTCTCCGAACGTTCGGGAAAATAAAGCTGGGCACTATTTCTCCGAACGTTCGGGAAAATAAAGCTAGGCACTATTTCTCTGAACGTTCGGGAAAATAAAGCTGGGCACTATTTCTCCGAACACTCTGAAATCACATCCTTTCGGCAAATTTTGTTATATAGATCTATAATTATAGTATAGGCCTACCAAAGATTGTTCGTGTACAATATGGTTCAATCGGTCCAAAAAATCAATCGTGGCTCGATTTTTGGGCATTTTTTTGGTCCCCAGATCGGAGAATAAAAGTCAAATAAAAAAAAAAAGAAAGAAACTGAACCTTTTTACTTTTGAAAGAAAGTTCACCAAGCTTCGCTTCGTCTCTTTCTCACTTGTTGTCACCACGTTGATTTGTTGAATACGTTACAGTTACTTTTATTTTTCCCTCTTTGTGGTGTTTTATTTTGTTAGTGTGTATTTTTTTCTTTCTTGTTATTGTTCTGATGTGTTGTTTTTCCATCAATTTTTTTTAACGGGGAAAAAGGGGGGGGGGGGGTGTGTTATATAGTGTAACGTCATTTAATTTGATGTTCCCACCTTCATTAGATTCTAAGATTTAAATGTGTTATGTTAGAGCGTACGTTCCACAAAAACCGATCACATGTACTGACACTGGCAGGCCCCTTAAATGTGTGCAATTCCATAATTTACCTGTAATATCCTGTACTTTGTTTTAAAATTACGCACATTTAGTGTTAAAACAGCCAATCTTCTTCAGACAGGTGGACTCACGCCCTTATTTGTTAATTTTTGTGGTTGTTTAATTTTAATGGGCTGTTCTAATTTTGATTTTATTCTGTCGTGGAAACCTTTCCTTTTCTCGTTTTTACACTCATTTAAAAATCTCTAGACAAGCCAGACTAGCTCTTGAAAATTGAAATAGATATATAGACCTAAAAATTTGCTCCTGTGTGTGTGTGTGTATGCATGTGTGCGTGTGTGAGTGTGTCTGTGTGTGGTAGTAAAGTGTGCAAGTGGAGAGTGAGGAGCGTGCATGTGTTTGTTGTTCGGGCTTTATTCAGTAACAGTTCAAAGTATACAAAAATAGAAACACAGGATCCATTCTCATTCACTCCAGGGCTCATGAGTCGTTCCTCTCTTTCAGTTTCACTCATTCATTCAATTCCTGTGTTCTCTCCCGCGGCTCATCCCCGTCCGCATGACTTTCACACCCCACCCCCTCCCTCCAGGCACACACAAAGAAAATCTCACACACTCCCTTGCTCCCTGCGAACCATGGACAATAATATAGGCAAAACACTGCCTTAGCCGCATTCCTTTCGTTCTTGAGCTGTGTACCAGGCCAGGGGGGTCGGTGTCGTCGTCTTGTAGTTGCTGTCGCCTGTGGATACACTCGTACATTCTTCCTTTCACCTGCTCTTTCACTCATACTGTCTCTCCATTTACAGCTCAGCTCGTCATACGTTCAAAAGTTGCCCACTGGTCATGTTTAGTTAGTGTGTGTATAAGTTTGTGTGTGTACATGTGGATGATGGTGGTGGGTGTGTGGTGGGTGTTACTGAAGGTTGGCTGTAGGCGGGCTTGCCATGCGGTGTTCCTTCCCAATCCCAGACCAGAGGCAGAATGAAAGTTGGCGCCGAACTCTCGCAATAAATAGGCAAAAAATCACGAGAACGGAAGCCGGAAACCGTTCGGAGAAATAAAGATCGGCACTATTTCTCCAAACGTTCGGAGAAATAGTCACTACGTTAACTTTAATGTCCAATTACTAGATCTATCTAAACTAGCCCTACCTGTATCATTAGTATTCCAATTCATAACAGAACGACTAAGTTGAGCTGACCTTGCCAGGGCAAAGTTAATGGCTGTCGCTATTCTTACCCGAGGTGAAAATAAAAATATAATATTATTCTCACCCGAGGTGAGCATAATAAATTAATATCCATTTTATTTTCACCGGGGGTGAGAATAATATTATATAGTTATTCTCACCTTGGGTGAGAATAAAATGATATTATTCTCACCCGGTCTGAGAATGCAATGGATGTTGAGACTGAGAACGGGTAGGCCTTGGACTACATGATGAATGTAGGCTAATAGGATGATAGATCTATGTGGCGTCGGTGGCCTAGTGGTTAGGCTCTCGGACTCGCAACCGTAAGGTCGTGGGTTCGAATCCTGTCAGGGACCCGACGTTGTGTCCTTGGGAAAGGCATTTTACACAAATTTTCCTCACTTCACCCAGGTGGGAATGGGTACCCGGCTATAGACAGCGAAAGATCTTGTCAGTTTGTTAGTGTTTGAGTGCTTAATCATCAGCTGCTTGCACTGTATGCTTCCCAGGAAGCTGAGAATGTTTTGGAGTGTTCTATGGTCTGCTGGGGTAATAATATAGTGTAAAGCGCATAGAGCCTGCTGTTGAGCGAGGATATAATATATATGCACTATACAAATGCTCTTTATTATTATTATTATTATTATTATCTAGAAAATAATTTGTGAAATGTATAAGAGTACCGTTCTTGACCTTTCCCCGAGCGCTGGACGATTTTTTAGGCTCCCGCGGGGAATGTTATTGTTTCCTGAGAATCGGTGAGAGTATGCATGCCTATATCTTCACCAAAATCTTAAACAAATGAATATAATATTCTAAATTAAGAAAAGAATTCACTTTCCAGAGAAGTATGTTTTTAAAAATATTAGCCTTAACTGAAAGCTGTTTAATGAAATAGCCTAATATTAGAGTATGTCATTGTAATGTTAGAATTGGATTTCTTTACAGTAAATCACAGCACAATATGTTTTCCCTAGAACAGAACCCACGAAGGCACGCAGTGCCTTGACCCTCCAAGGTTTTTTTGTTGTTGTTGATTGGTTAAACCATTCAAGAGTAAAATATTCCATTAAAAACAGTCTAACCAGTTTATAATAGAACAAAAGGTGACACCAAAGGTTCTCCAATACCTCTTAAAATATTTGTTCAAAAGATAAGGTTTTCCCTCAAATCGACGATAGTCGCCTCCCGCACTCGAGAGCTGGCCCGTTCTTCGACGATTTTAGTCGTCTCGCGCGCTCAGCGGAGTGAGAGAGGGAGGTGAGTTTGTCGCCTGGAGCGCTCAGTGACAGGGGGGTGGGGGTGGTCCTATGATGCCCGAAACAAAATAAAAAGGGCGGAAACGAAAAAACCAAGTGAGAATACTAGGCTGTCGTTTCTCCCTGGAAGTAATGATGATGCTGTAGTGGTAGTGGAAGGACCCTGAGTTGTCGGTTATCGTGTACTAAGTTAAGACACTGCCATTGGGTAGATCTAATGAGAGTTGCTGTTTTTTTACTTGTGACACTATTACACAGTCCTAGTAGGCAGTTCTAGTTCTAATTCTGGTTTTACGTAAAATCCCCCGACAACAGTTATATTATGTAACCTCCTTACACTCACATAACTCACTTAGAAGCTAAGTCCTAATAAACAAAACATTTTTTTTAGACCCGAGTCCAAATAGAGATACAACCCATATTTGGATTCGAGTCCGAATAGATAAAAATTATATTCGGACTCGAGTCCGAATAGAGCTGGCCTATATAATAAAGCCACCAAAACTGTCGCGAAACAATTAGATCTAGATAGCTAAATTTATTGGTGCTACTTAAGAATGTTGGTCCAGTTTGAGGATACCAGTTTTGACCCCACCGACGATTACTTCTTGTTCTAAACAATAACTTTTTGATGCACGTGCTGATATGGAGATAGCCTGTCCTATCAAACCTAAATTGCAAAACATCGCATTATGGTCAAATTCACAGGGGCATGCTCTCCTGAACCCCCCCCCCCCCCCATGTTTTTGTTAGGTCACGGAGCCTGTCCTATCAAACCTAAATTGCAAAACATCGCATTATGGTCAAATTCACAGGGGCATGCTCTCCGGAACCCCCCCCCCCCCCCCCCCCCATGTTTTTGTTAGGTCAAGGGGGCAAGCCAGCCAGAGGGGCAACTTAACCGATGGAGAGAATACTTTGATCAACTGTTGAACAGACCACCTCCAGAAAACCAAGTAGAAATTCTTCCAGCCAGAAATGACCTCCCAATAGACACGGAACCACCTTCAAGAGAGGAAATTGCAGCGGCTATAAAATCACTGAAGTCCCACAAGGCAGCTGGTCCTGACCATATACCACCGGAAGCCCTTTTATTAAGGCAGATAAAGGTACGTTAGTGGAAATTCTCTATGCTCTATTTGAAAAGGTTTGGCAAAAGGAGGAAATACCATCAGACTGGAAGGAAGGACACCTAATCAAGCTGCCTAAGAAGGGAGACCTCAGCAATTGTAACAACAGTAACAACTACAGAGGCATTACACTCTTGTCCATACCTGGGAAAGTCTTTAACAGGATACTCCTGGAAAGAATCAAGCTGACAACGGACGAGAAGCTCCCTGGAAACCAGGCAGGATTCCGCAAAAACAGATCATGTGTGGATTAAATTGCTACTTTGCGCATCATTGTTGAGCAATCGCTTGAATGGAATTCACCTCTCGTGGTCAACTTCATTGATTGTGTAAAGGCGTTTGATAGCGTAGACAGGGAAACTCTGTGGAAACTCATGCGGTTTTTTGGAATACCTGACAAAATCGTCAAGCTTATGAAGGCCTCCTATGATGGAACAAACTGCCAAGTCTTCCACGAAGGACAACTCTCAGAAGCATTCCTGGTATAGACAGGAGTGCAACAAGGATGCTTACTCTCACCTTTTCTCTTCATACTGGCAATTGACTGGGTCATGAAAGAAGCCACCAGAGGCAAGCGTAATGGAATGCAGTGGATCCCTTGGCAGCAGCTGGACAACTTGGACTTCGCCGATGACTTTGCACTGCTCTCTCACACATGCTCAGATGCAAGAAAAGACCAAGGAACTCAACAGGCTATCAAGGAGTGTTGGCCTATGTATACATCCAGGCAAGTCAAAAGTAGTGAAGGTAGGAAAAGTTTCAAGCCCTGCTGTGACAGTGGAAGACATTCCCCTGGAAGAAGTGGACTCCTTTACCTACCTTGGAAGTGTCATCGATGGTAAAGGTGGAACCGTGGCTGATGTTAAAGCAAGAACCGCCAAGGCAAGGTCTGCATTCAATCAATTATCAAAAGTCTGGAAAGCATGCAACATCTCACTGCGCACATAGATTCGACTCTTTAACTCCAACGTCAAGTCTGTGCTCCTCTAAGACTTTCATCAACACATGTATGAGGAGTATTCTAAGAATTAAGTGGCAGGATAGAATAAGGAATGAAGAGCTGTGGGAAAGGACAGGACAGAAGGATATATATAGAAGTAGAAATAGAACTAAGAAAGTGGCGATGGATGGGACACACCTTAGGAAAGCCCAGCGGAAACATCACAAGACAGTCGCTGCAGTGGAACCCGCAAGGAGCACGAGGCAGGGGTAGGCCACGGGAAACATGGAGGAGATGAGTGGAAAGGGACATGAGAGAGATGAAGCTCGCTTGGAATGAGCTTGGAAGGATGGCTCTGGACAGAGATAAATGGAAGGAACTTGTATGTGGCCTATACCCTGCCAGGGTTGAAAGGCATTGATGATGATGAATTCCTAATATTTAAATCAGTATCGATATCCAGTACTCTGTGTTGATGATGCCAAGTCTAAACAGACGGGACCCACATTCTTAAGTTGTACCGATCTATTTTCAAGAGAATTTTAAACCAGACTGGAAAATATCAAATTATGGGTTAAAACAGGGGGACATGCTCCCCCTGACCTCCCCCCCCCCCCCTTCCCCCCCCCCCCCGTTTTAGATCTGGTGTAGATTCTAGATCTAATATAGCTTGATTAAAGAAAAATCAAATTTTCGAAAACTATTAATTTGCGGTGGAAATGAAGTTGATATTCGTGTTCAGCGCATCAATATTTAGTGGAAATTGGACAACTGATAGTTAAGTGTGAGACCGGAGGGAAAGTAAAAGAATACCTGGATTGATCTAAAAGCACTGTGGTGATCAGTATTGGGCAAATACAGTGGAACTCGGATTCAACGAGGTCGCCGGGTCTGACCTAAAATCTCGTTGAATCCTAGTGTTCGTTATAGCAAACACGAGGTTTTGTGTAGATAATTACAGGTACTGAGCTAGTTATGTATAAAGAGAAGTCACAAGTAGTGCCTGAAATGCATGCATATTATGAGCTGTGTAAAAAAAAGACCGATTCGTTCAAATTATGTACGCCTGAGTCATCTCGATTGTTCACCAAATAGGTGTGTTGCTGAGTAGAGCCTAACGGCAACTTTTGATTCCATCGACCAGCGCACAATTCATTACGTAGATCTACGTCAAGACTAGCTTATCATTGTAATAATGATCAATTGCCAAAGGAAAAAAAAAAGACATCTTCGACGTTCAACGCCCGGACCGCTAGTGCCCCCCCCCGATACGCACACACAGCCACACGTGTGCAGGCCGCCCATCCGACCACGACACACGCCAGGGTAGACACATGCGTGTCAACAACGCATGTGTTGGTATACATGGTATTTTAAAAAAAGGCCACTGATTAGTCGTATGCAATCGACTAAGTGAATAATGGTTCACGATGCAGGTGCAATGGATGGATTCTGGGAATAGATAAAGTTCGTTCTGGGAGAAAAATGGACGAAGCCACATCTGTGGGGGCTGTTCACCCTGGAACTGGAAGCAACCTCGTTGAATCCGAGCTCGCTGATTTAAGTGCTCGTTGAATCCGGGTTATTTTTATTGATTTTAAAGAAGAAAAAAAACCGGGAATCTATCTCATCTCGTTGAATCCGAGTTCTCGTTGAATCCGAGCTCGTTAAATCCGAGTTCCACTGTAAATAGCATTGTTCTACTTCAGGCCATCAGAGACATGGCGTTGTCATCGATTGGCACCCTTCTGACATTACTTTTCAGCGTCTTCGTCTCGTCTCAGTCTGCACTTCGGCTTTGGCGTCTCAGGAAGCTAAGGACTTAGATCTAGATGATCGATAGGCTTTTTATACCCCCTGTGCACATTGGTACAATTCCGCAGTAAGAGGTCTTTGCCGTCCCGCCGATCAGTGTGG